TGTTATCGCACGGTCTGCCACCGTTCTTTACCAAATGAACTTATTATTTATCTATATTTAATTATATTATTCTCATAAATTGTTGAATATTGCATCAACAAGTAAGATAAGTAGGTAGAACTTTATTGTATCCACAACATAACTATAAAAATGACCTAGATGTATTTATTAATGTTCTTGGAAATATAACATTATATTTTTCTTATGTATTAGTGTTAGTAAAAATTTACTTTGGTATTTATATTGTTAATACTTTGATTATAATATGTTACAAAGAATTACGCTATAAAAAAATAAATAAATACAAAAGTTATAATTAAAATAAAACTAAGAAATTTAATGTAAACTCCGTCAAAATTATTGTTTTATATATCTTTTTTAATATTTAATGTAGTTAGTTTATTCATTTAAATTTTATGAAGCTACTCTATGAAATACGGATAAACTGCCAGTTATATACGACAGCGCATAGCCATATTTAATTAAGTTTGACTAAATTGGCTTGTTGTTAAATAGAATGTTTTACCTGCGTCTTTAACTGTGCATTTTTCTGTGTTGTGCTTATGTAGTTGGACTTACGAAAGAGAAAAATACGTTTAATACAATCAATATTTTTCTATGTGTTAATGACCAGATTTATATGTGAGATACCTGAAACACACTGTACAGTGCGGACAATAGCGAGTCATTCTTAGAATGCTTCTGTTTAAGTAACGGTAGTACATTGTGTGTTTACACTGTTTACACTTAATGTATGTTATACTTAACAGTAACGTACCTACATCGTTAAAATTTACTTTGATTCTTCGTTGTTCCTTCCACCTAGCATGATATTTTACGTGATTAGTGCCTATATGTTAAACGTTGAGTACAATGTTAAATATATACATGCTTTGCACTTAGATTTCGTAATTCATTGAAATAATCTGTTTTTTGTTGTTTATGTATTATCATTGTCAAGATAGAAGAAGTCAAGAAGATATTGTTATGTTAATTATAACTTTCAACCACAAATCAAGTAGTTTCTTTACAAGTAATAATTCTAATATAATGAGGTTAAATTTATTTATTTATTTTTAGGAAAACATAGCCTCATTCAATCAATACATAGTCAAATTACATCTATGCTGAGTTATGAATAGTTTTCACATTTAAGTAATTACACAATTGATCGGTTTTTATATATGCAAAAAAAAGTATATAATAATAATTACAAAGTTATAAATTATGACAAATTTTGATTAAATGTCGAGTAAAGGTTTTATAATCAAATTTACCACATTTAACGAGGCACCTAAATGTTTTGTTTGTGTACAGCTTTGCTGATGACTTAGAGGTAATGCTGTTAGCATTTTAAAAACTGCTAGTCTGTCAAAAATTTTTGTTTTGGCTACTGCCTTTAGCTTACAAAACATCCTGTCTACACAAAAAATGTACTTTGTCTACAAATTTGGTCGTCTATACTCTTGTTTGAGGCTAATTTGTTTTTATTTGTGGCTAATGCAAGAATTAACCCTTTATTTAATAATGAAAGATTGTACTCCACAAAAAAAACCGATTTTAATTGTGAGAAAACCAGTTATTGGTATCTAAAAATTAAACTATTTTTTAATTTTAGACACGTGATTTTTATTAAGATATGAATAATCAATTCCCAGAAGCATTGTTCTGTCGGTGCGACAGAGATGTTTTCGTGATATATTTATATATCATAGTAACTTTTCAACCAGTTGGGAGATTTGATTGTAACCTATAATATTGTTATCATCTGTGGTAAAATGTAAAATATTTTTTATCATATCTGCAAATCTACATTCGAGTTTCATAAAATTTGACTATTATTGTCTATTTTGGGAACACTGCCGTTACGGAGATCGGGCGCCTAGACGCGAGGGTCGGCAACCGAGAGGGCTTCGACCTGTGAGGTGTGGGCGCCTGCGCGACCCCGCCCGAAGCCCGGCCATCGACCAACCCCGCATCTCGGCTATAGGGGTGCACCGCCCGGGCCGTGAGCCGCTAGTGTGCCTAAATTATATCTGGGAGACCTATCGCTGAAAAAACACTATAATCTGGTTACATATTATGAAACTGTAGCGAAAACAACAGTTAAAGAATTAATACATAACTGTAGGCATGACAATAAATGTAGGGTAATTATGACCTGAAGTATTAAGTATTAATTATAAAAAAATTCAGAGGACTTTGTTGACGTTTTCTTTGTTTCATTCTCCTATAGTTATAAGACAGAAATTAAATTAATAATAACAGAGATAACATTTGTATTTTATTAATTGCTTCAATTTTGTAATTATACCTAAGCACACACAATTAGATAAAATGTCTATTAATAATGCTTATGCTAATTAAGATTATTATTTTGTTTTGGATGACATGCTTCAAGCTGTATTGATTAAATCAATATATTTCAATATTCATGTTTGATTAGATATTTCATTACATAGCTAGTAACTTTAACTTGATTATTAATTTTCTATTTACGTAAACGGTGTCACATTGACCGATGACAACAGGGGTGAAGTCGTGGGGTGCAGGGCGGGACGTGCTGACCGGCCGCTGAACTTCGTCAGTCAAAATCAATACAGCTGCTCCCCGCACCGTGCATTGAGCTTGCGCTCGTCTCGAGTCCGTTGGCATGGCAACGCGGCCAGATAAATCATCCCGCACTGGGATAACGTCGCCCCCACCCCATAGACACGCGATCTCTCCCTGTGTTTCACGCCTGCGCCAGTTCAGTCATGGCTCGACCCACTCTCGCTCAACACTTGAATCGTTGGTTCTATTACAAAGTTGATTACTGTGGCAACCTGTTGTTGCCACGTGGATGTAGAAATATGCAAACCCTAATCTTGTAACGAAACTTTTCACATATATGTTCTGAAATTATTTCCAACACTAATGTTTTTAGGATATACGTTTAAATATAGGCGTTATTTCGATCGATTGCCACTTTTTTTTTTAAATAAAAATCAACATAAAGTATGGCATTGTTAAAGTTTTTTATGTAAATAGTAGTGTTTATTTTCTGGTTCCAAATGTATTGAATTTATTATTAGATGCAGAATGCAACTTCGATTAGAACTACGATTAAATAACTTCTGAAATTCAACTATTAGAATTAAATATTTGTATTTTACGAGAATTGACTTACAAAACTTATTTTTGAAAGGTTTCAATAAATTAGGGCAAAATTATAAGCTATGCACAGATTGTAAGAAAGTTACAAGAATTTCAATTAATTAATCTTTAAATATAACTAACTTCCTTGAATATTACTAACTTGCATGAGGTATAGGTATATACGTGCGACTTGTAATATAAATTCCATAATGTCTTTTTGTTAATTAGTTCTTACGTTCTAAGCACCCTTTGATATGAATTTTTTTTCCCCCATAGTAAACGCGCCACATGTTGGCACATGAACATAAGTGAATTCCAGTTTTTGTTGAGCAACATTTGATTGCCTTACCGATATTAAACTAAGATTTGAATCTTTGATATTCAACTAATTTTTATAACCTGCAATTCTGAGTATTGGTGTTTACACTATATATATAATACATAACAAAGGCCTGTTTAGTAGAGAGCAAAGGAATTGCATTGTATGATTTTTTATTCAACGTTATTCTTGAATAAAAAAAAATATTTTCTGACAATTAATTGTTTTGTTGAATCTTTAAATTACTTTTTAGTAATACAATATCCCGATTATCTGAATCAAATAAAACTATGGGTTTTCCGTATAATCAAAAACCCGGATAATAGATTTTTAAGTGAAATCAATATTTAAATTTTAATATATTTTTTTTATTATGTAAAGGCTTTAACATGCGTTTTTTAGTCAATACGATATAAAAAAATTACGAGTTAGAAAAATAATGCATTACATAAAACCTATTGACTCAATTAATGCATAATACCCTTTTTAAATTTGTAATTAGAGCTTTGAAAAAGAAGTCCGGATAATCGTATATATGGATAATTGAAATAAAAGAATTAAAAATGATTTAAGTGACTTGTTGCTACCACCACTGTGCATGATTTATTATTCAGATTAATAATATAAAATACTGCATGATATATTATCTCTGTATTGCATAGATTCACTGCATTGCATTTAATTTATATAATGTAATGAAATTTAATTTTCGAGAACCAGACCTACAAAACAATTATTATGGCCGTTAAAATTGCTGATGGTGAAATAGAAAATCTGTTAATCTGTTAACAAAGATCTTAAAATTAATTAATTATTAACGTATCGTACGTTTGAATTTGGTCATATATTTGCATATACAAAAGTCGCAAACACACTAATAATACTTACTATAATAGTGCGTTCTACTTTATCGTATAACGTTATGATTAGGTACCTTGAATAGTAAGCCTAGGGAATAATAGAGAGAATATAACAAACAGCACGACTTACAACCAATCTTTTTCTAGTGCATGTCGAAGGTCGGAATTAGAATATAAGTAAAAAAAAAAAAAATACGTATCTACACTGGTAATGTTTTAGTATGAAAATTTCATATATGTTGCAAAATGCTATTTATATTGTAGTATAATATTCTTTACAGAAGTTACTTAGTTTTATGAATAGAAATACTATCACTGGATGTGTTACTACCTTTTTGTTACATTTTATACAATAGAATTGCAACACAGGGTTATCACGTGCGCGTTACTGACCCTCTCGGAGGAATAACCGACCCTGAACTCTTTACTCTTTATCCTAAGTTACTGAAGGATTACAACCTACGATCATTTCTGAAGCGGAAAGTCTTTTATAATGAAGACAGTCCACCTTTAATAGCATATTATTAAAATTATATAATACTATATTTTTACTGATATTTTTATGGCCAATTTAAATTTTGCGAATACAAATACATATATTTTAAGTGCTTATTCAAACACCTCTTTGCCTGTAAAAATAAAGCTGTTTGGTAGTCTGTTTATAAAAACAATTTCTTTTTCAGAACGTCGATCACAAGGCCAAATTCCGGTCCAAAAAAGGCCAGCTGCCATTTGTAGAGCTGAATGGCGAAGAAATTGCCGACAGTGCATTCGTTATCAAGGAGCTTTCAGAAAAATATAATAAGGATTTTGATGCAGGTAAAATCATCTAACTTCTGTTGTTATTTTGTTTATTTATACATATGTATGAAGTCGGTGGATCACGTCCTTTCGCGTATCAACTTCAGATTACTTGATATCCAACATTGTCATTCAATATCTTTATGTTTCTCTTTGTATGTGTGTGTCTGTGTGTATGTTTATATCTGCTATCGGTTTTTCTATCCGAAATATTTATGAAGCTGAATTTGATTTACCATATCAATAAAGATTCAAGATTAACATAAAATGTACACCTAACTTTTTTAAAAAAAATATATTTTAGTGGATACATACATACCGCGTGTCGTGGATGCATTAAAGGGATGTTTGACTGTGGTGATTTGAATTTTTTATTGACTATAAAATCCTACTATAGAATAAATTGGCCAAATATTAAAATTATATAGTATTAAAAACTGGGTTTAAACATTATAACGAGCTTTATGTAACTTAGTATCTATGCTATATATTTAATATCCCCTGGTCGATGCAGCGACAACATAGACTCCAGATTTTCTGTAGTATTCCCGGGCGACCTCAACGACCCGAAATCCTAGAATTCTAGATAGTGATGGGTCGTCGCGCATGTGCATTCGAATAAAATAGCGCACAGGCTTGCACCTGTTGACCTATTTGTTATATACAGCCCTGACGCCGGAGCAACGAGTGGTAGCACACGCGATGATCTCCATGATCGAGAACCACCTGTCATGGGTGATTCTGTGGTGGCGCGCCAAGTATCCGGACAGTGTTATCAAGGGCTACCAAGTGAATCTCCAAAATGCCCTAAACACTCGTCTGCCGAATCCCATTCTCAATTTTTGCTACAAGCTTACATCTGGACGTAAGGTAACTATTTAAACTAATATTATAGAAAGTGAACGGTTTTTTTTTTATTAATAATATTTAACACATATTAAAAATACTTTCTACTATAGAAATCTACATTACCAGCGACTGAAAAAATTGTCGTGCGTAGCCTGGATTGGTTGCTAGTTTTATAATCTTTATTTGTATTCGTGTTGCTATCCTAGTGAGGGTTTAATATAGTGATAGTTTGTGTTTTTAGACGAAAATTTTTCTCTGCAATTTCGAATATATATTTTTTAGCAAGATGTTGTACTAAAAATTCAAATAACAAAGGAAAATAGGGAATACTTTTTTTGACATTGCTGTAAAAAAATATGAATAAAATATATACTTATACGTAAATATTTATTTAATAATTTAGAAATGTGTTTCACAAAAAAGACCGACTTCAATTGTGGCAAAGTCAGTTATTTTGATTTAAAAACTAAACTACTCAACTGATTTTGATAAAATTTCTATGGGGCCAATTTGTTTAGTATACCTTTTCAAATAAACAAGAATTTACCAAGTCGATTTATAACTGACGGAGTTATGAAGTAATAAACATAAAAATATACAACCGAATTGAGAACCTCCTTCTTTTTGAAGTCGTGAAGTATTTTTTTTATGTTTGTTAAGTAATTCCGTTACGTCTTAACCGATTTCGAAAATTATTTTTTTATTTGAAGGGCTTTTATATTAGTCCTATAGACATTTTATCAAATTTGCTTCAGTAGTTTAGTTTTTAATTCAAAATAACTGATTTCATCATAATTGAAGTCGCTATTTTTTATGGGGCATAATCTTTAATTATAATTATTTTTATTCAAATCCCTTTTGTACGTACTTCCGTTTTATGTGAAAGTATAACAAATACCTGCACATCCAAACATCTTCATTACGTTTCTCAATTATAATAGTTGGATTTATAAAAATAATGTTTCAGTGAACATTATTGATTTATTTTTAATTTGTTTTTTGTAATGAGTAGACTTTATGTACTGACTACGCACGTTTAGTCAATAATTATAAATAAATAATGTTGGATTGTAAAATATAGTCACGATTGTTCAATTGATATAATTATTTTATACGATTAATAATGCGGTTACATAATAATTATAATGACCTATTATTTAAGTTTACATTGCTTATAAATAATATTACCTTCAATTAAATGAATGCTTACTATTATTATATACGAGACACAGTTTTAGCAAAGAATAACAATTATCTGTTTCTAAGAAAAAGTAAAACATTTGTTTTATTTTTTAATTTTGTAGTAAAACATAATACCTAAGGACATATTAATAATTAAACAAATATTTTATATAATTTTTAGTCATACATTCATTTTAGTGTTTGCAATCTTGCATCCCGTATTACCGCATTCCAGCAATTTCCCGCATGTCAATAAGACCTGCGGAATGCACATTTGTGCACTAAATACCGCGCGAAAATTTTTTGAACAATTTATCACAAATAAATACGTTAATTAGCTAGAAACAAAATGTATCCTTTTAGTATTATAAATGTAAAAGTTTGTAACAATGGATAGATGGATGGATCTTTGTAACTTTTTCGCGCAAAAACTATTGAACGGATTTGAAATTTTAATGGTATACAGGTAGGTTACATCCTAACTTAGCATATAGGAAAGTTTATATACCGATTTACGCGGTTGAAGTCGCGGAATACAGTTAATGAGTGATAAAAGTAATATGTTATTAATATGCTGTTTTTGTCGATTTTTAGTTAATAAATATAGTTTTCACCGTAGAATGGGTTTCCCCCCCCTCCTTTCCCGTGGATGTAGTAAAAGGCAACTAACGGAACTTATTGGTCGAAGTATGGGCAGCAGCGTCCTTCTTAAACCATCAACAAATCCTAACTGCGGTGATCAGCCTGCCTGCCAATCATAGCATGTTAACTACTGGCCATTGACTGTTCAGCAGTGAATAGTTAATGGCTGATATGATGATGATGATAAACATAATTTTTAATATGTATTATGTTTAGTTGTTTTTAAATACCAAGAAATATTTTTATTTAATTCGGTTAAATTTATATATTCCACAGTATGGGAATTTTAATTTTCATATGTAAATGTATAATTTTTATCAGATGAATAAAAATTATATTCGTATATAGTTTTTATATAAATTATGTTTTTATTTATATAGTGATTTACGAATGATTCGGAAACCAATACTTTAAAACTACTTTGTAGAAGTCAAAAATCAAATTTATAAGATAGTAATAATTATTTTTAAAAGAATAACAGCTAAAAAATTTGGTAAATGTAGTTCGAAAATATAATAAAATATACCCGTTGTTATGTTTCCTTTTCCTAGAAATCGTTGTAATTGTAAATTTACATCAAATTCCCAGCTAGAAAGAAAAACCTGTAGATTGCAAACCCTAATTCATTTCATAACTAATATAGTACATGAACTTACGTTTTTTTAATCATCCATAAAATTATAAAATATTACAGGGCATGAAGAAAGCAAAAGCTCACGGTATTGGCGTACATAGTCAAGATGAAATTTTGGAATTCGGCAAAAACGACCTGCGTGTGCTTTCGGATCTGCTCTCTGATAGGCCATTCTTCTTTGGTGATGAGCCTACACTTGTAAGTGTTTTATTGTGCTTTTTTACTCACTAATATACATACATACATAAGCAATATTCAATGGCTACTGTTATTATTCAAACATTATATCGTTTGAATAATAACTTTTTTTTAAATGTTTTTAATTTTTATTATTGAATTTTGACAATACATATTCAGTTAACTTACGTAATATAATGTGTTTAACAGTTGGACGTAGTGGCGTTCTCAAATCTCGCACAACTGCATTTCATCGACAAGGATGTAGCCCACCCCCTGCGAGACGCGATGAATGAATCGTTCCCGAACCTCATCGGGCTGGTCTCCCGCATCAAGGAGCGCGCGTTCCACGACTGGGATGACATATGTACTACGCTCGACCTCAATGCACACCTTCCTAAGCCTGTCAAAGAGGTCAAAGAAACCAAGGAAGGCACCGGCCCAGCTGAAAAACAGCCACTTCCGGATGAACCAGAAAAGGGCAAGGTAAGTTTTGATTTTAGTCGTAAAATATTCTAAAATAGTATGATCCAAAAAGTCTCTGTCTTCACTCTAGAGGACCCCCTTTCTTAGGGTTCCACACCAAAAAGGTACAAAGAAATCCTTGTGGTGTAACTTTGTTTATCGGACCGTCCATTACAGCGTTGTATCTCAGTAACTACTAATAATTAAATTTGAAACAAAATTATTGTCTCATATCTTTCAATGAAAATAATTGAAAACCTATTTTTTATTCTTTTTTAGACTAAAAAGGGGTAAAAAAATTTCAAAATGGTGCTAATAGTTGAAGTGGAGTATCATATTAAAGAGCTTCATTTGTAAATTATAAAATTAATATATATTTCTATAGTGTGCACGGTTTTTGACTTGTGATCGAAAATGTAAGAAAAAATAACATTGCCATCTCAACCTTTTAAGTTTGTAATGCAAAAAATCTGAAATATAATTTATAAAGTTATATGTGAATATTACAGGAAAAAGTGAACGATGTTTCTATCGAGCAGTTTTTTAAATTTATAAAAAAAAAAGCTCCAAAAAAATCTTATACGATCTAGTTTTTAACTAAAATTAGAAACTACGAATTGAAATGCCAATAATAATTATTTGCTATTTATTTTATATAGTAAAGTACAATCTATGTACAGAATCCCTTGGTGTGTGAGTTGAACTCGCTTCTGATCAGTTTTAATTTTTGTTCTATTGTAAGAAGTGGAAAACAAGCAATCCATTTGATGATAAGTGGTAATTGCTTCCTATAAATATTAATACAATCAACATCAATTAAACTGACACCTTTTACGCGTCATCAATTCGAAAGACTAACAAACTGGATAGACAACATGTTTCGCGAAATGAAATTTCTACATTTATTTTTATCATAATTCATATTATATTATATATAAAAATATATATTAATATATATTTTTATTTTAAATCACTTTCAATATCAAGTTATAATTCTACATTAAATTTATTTGTCATTTTAGGGCGATGAAAAAGAAAAAGAGCTGGAGAAAGAGCCAGAAGATAAGAAGGAGAAAGACAACGAAAAGGAAAAGTAAACACGCAGTAATGACACGGCGCTCGAACTTGATAACCAAGTTACACTAACATACAAGTTGAATTATACACTTAAGAGTCAGACTCGTAATAGATTCTGTAAATTATAAGCGTGTAAATCCATTTGTCTTTCCCATTTCTTTCAGTTGTGGATGCAAATGCGTCCGTTACATTTATTGTGCTTTTTTTTCTATTAATTGTCATTTAACGTATAATATAAGTTCACTCGATGTCGTGTCGTAAGTGATCTATTGTAACGATAAATTAATAAGATGACGTAGAAGGACTATCTGTCGTCTTGATTAATATAATTCATATAATTGTAAAATTGATTGTATTATGATTCCGTTGAAATGCTTGGTAGAATATAATTTTCTTGAAATGTATCTTTTATGTTAAAATTTGTGAAATGATTAAATTAATATCTGATAAGGTAATTTGGTTGTTAGGGTACTTACAGGATTAGGTAATCGTTTATTCAAATGAAGTTATAGCATAAATAGGCGTATGTAAATGTTTACATTCATATAACATAATTGTCATGTCATGTATAGAAAATTACTCCTTTCAATTTGATATTTCATGATGTAATTCCACGATATAAATTAGTGTTATTTAGGGAGCGTACATGACTTTCATATTATTACTATTGAGAATAGAACTATTGTACTATTTACGTCTATCTTACGACTACGGGCAATTGATACATGACTTATATTAGCGCCCTACTAAATTGTGAAATATTGAATGCTACAAAATATTAAGTGTAGGTATAATCAAAACCAAAAATTGGCTGATGTTTAGTAGATAATTGAAAGTATTATGCATTCGGAAATTTTGAGGCTCGTATACATGTAACATGAACAGAGTTGGCGTGAAAGGTAAGAATGTTTTGAGATTCTTGTATTTTATTGGTTTTTACAAAAGAAATTTACAATTTACAAATTTTTGATAAACGAGAAAGCCTGGAAGACTGTTTTTTCATGTTATTATGTAATTCATAGTCCATAAAATTTTGATATTGTATTGTTAAGATTTAGAAACGAATGTACTCAAATTTTGTAAGTACGAAATTAATATCTCAATTTAGTGTGTTTATTACATTACAAGTCTATCGCTACATGTATGTCTCTAGTAAAATTTACGTCTTCAAGGTTTTTCGGCATTGCATTCCGTGTTGTGTAAGAGTAGAAATAACTATGGTTTAAATGTTTATCAACATAGTAACTCATAGTTCTATAGATTATGTTTATTTTCACACCGTTTGAGCTCAAATATACATTATTTACCAAATACTCAACTAAGACTGCTTTCGAGTCAATATTCTCGGAAATTTGTTAAAAAGTTTGACTGATTAATTAGAATAACGAGTCATTTTCATCGATTATTAAATTGTTTGCGGCGTTGGTCACTGAAACAGGCTTAGTATAACATTTTAGCGACTATCACTAAAATATATTCCAATTTCGTGCATTACTTGAATAGATTAACTCCATCTCACCTGTCCAGTTGTGGCTCCGTAGAACTATATTTAAGCATTTACTTTTGTTTCTCTATTTAAATGTCTGAATATAAGAGCTTTACATTATAACAAATTTAGAAATCGTCAAACTAATCTGTTATTTTATGAGTCAGCATTTCATATTGTCTTATTTGGGTTTTGCCCAACATTTCTACAATTGATTAATATTAGAATATTATAACTATAAGCCTAGAGATCTGAAAATATAACATATTAATATCATTTAAATGATAAATTATCCTAAGGTAAATAAATATACATAGGTGTACGTAACCGTGAACCGTGTTACGTTTTGTTAGTATAAGGCATGTGTAGGACGATGCGGTGGAGAAAATAAGGTTCGCTCCGCTCGTAGGTGTAACCATTTATTAAATAAAATAGAGCAGAATTTTATTTGACGTAAGACTTTAATTTCTCGTTCTTGGGGTAAGGTTGACTCGGTCCCTCCCGACAACTGCTGACCATCACTGCCATTAGTCTCAGCTATAAGGATTTAAGAATAAGAAAGTAAAATAGTTTAGGAAATGAGGTTGTACTCCAAAGCGGGCATTAATTCGTCGCCTCGCTCAGAGCCTCACTTCGTATATACGTTTCAATGTTGCATTACCAATTCAATAGTTATAGATGTAAAAATGTTCCAAGCCATCCATTCGAGAGCCTGTTTCAGTGTAATGCTACATCATGTCGGGGACAATCTCACTTACTGATTATAAATACTATATAATTAACGCACACCTCTGACACCTCAAATTTGAACTTTACTATGATGTGGTTATCACGTAGTCTTACTCGGGGAACGTACGCGTCCCGCGTAACGTGACCCGACGTGACGTGAGTGTGTAGCGGCGTATGTGAGATACTTGCAGGCGGCACCCTTAGCGGTAGTGTACGTACATGTGTAAGACTAGACATAAAACAATAATCTCTTGATCACTTTCGACCCTTCTTACGTAACATAATTGTTATGTTGGGACAGTAAATACTTAATCGTATAAGATAACGTTTAGTCCATATTTATGTCATCATTTTCAAAAAATTATAATCATATATCATATGATTCGTATTTAGGACTCTTGTCTTTATTGTCTCACTCCATAGTGTGTAATTGATATGGTACTTTTACTTAACATGATTTATTCTGATTCAATTTGTATTGTTGTAAGTTAGGTCTATTATACAAATTAATCATAATTACTGTAATAGTAGTAAAATAGGTATATTTCATCCAAGTATGTTTCACCCAAGTATGTTTATGTTATTATAGTAATGTAGGAAACAATTAATCTACTTTTGAGTTACATATATAGTTACGTTTTCATTATATAATCATATAACTCATCCGCATGTAGTAATTGTGGTTTTCAATTAATGTGTCAATAATGTTAAAGCTAAGTAATATTCGATTAGATAGTAATGGTTCGCCATAATTATACCAATATACACAACTGAGCTTTCAGTGGACACAATGTTCTTGTAAGGATTTCAATGTAATATTCTGTCGCCATTAAAGTATATATCTACCAAATGAATAACACTGTAAAGGGTTTTGACGTATAGGTACATACGCTACGACGTTAAAACCCCGAGCAGGTTCATTTTATTTACATTCATTGTTTAACCTTTTAACATTTGATACACTTGTAACATATAAATACAGTACAGTACTAAAAATGCATGCAATGCATGATCCTAATGACTGCGCAATTGCCGTTAGCGAGGCTATCATTGAAGGCATGAAGCTATTTATCCCTAACCCGCTAGTGGCAATGGGATCGAAGAAGCGTCCGTGGTTTAACCGGTCTTATAAGAAAGCCAGATTTGCTCAGCAAGCTGCATACAGGACTTGGACTACGGCTCGCACTAACTCTAATCCTGGAATCACTGATGCAAAACGGAAATTAAATGCTGCTGCGAAAATTACTATAACACAATGTAAAGTCCGGCGGGAGTTACTATCCTTAGATGTTCATAAGTCGAGTGGGCCAGACGGTATACCGGCAGTGGTTCTAAAGCAGTGTGCTCCGGAACTGTGTCCTGTATTAACGCGTCTCTTCACGATCTCGTACTCCACAGGGCAATTTCCTTTGACATGGAAGACCACCCTTCTACATCCTGTACCTAAAAAGGGCGATAAGTCGGACCCTTCAAATTACAGGCCGATTGCGATCGCTTCCCTTCTCTCTAAGGTGATGGAGCGTATAATTAACGCACAGTTGTTAAAATACCTAGAGGACCACGATTTATTGAGTGACCGGCAATATGGCTTTCGCCATAGTTGCTCAACCGGTGACCTCTTGGTACAGGGTGGCCCAAAAGTCCTTAGAAAAGTAAAATTTGAATTAAACGAAAACGTCGCGCGTGAGCGGTGCAGGGAAAGCGGGGGTAGTAACTTCGGTTTCTGGGAATTTAGTCGCGATGGAGCGTTTCACCGGAGCGGACCGTGCGTTTTGTGTGCGCGAGTTTTATCAAAACAACGATTCGGCAACCGTTGCGAGGCGTAAATTTCGAGAACACAAAGGTTTACACAACTTTGATGACACCCCAGCTCTCCAAACGATTAAGAATTGGGTTGCTAAGTTCGAGGAGACCAGTTCTTTTTTTTTTTTTTTACAACACGGGGCAAACGAGCATGCGGCTCACCTGATGGTAAGTGACTACCGTCGCCCATGATCACCCACAACATCAGCGGCATTGCAGGTGTGCTGCCGGCCTTTTAAAAAGGAATATACTCTTTTCTTGAAGGTTATGTTGTCGTATCGGTTCGGAAATACTGCTGCTGGAAGTTGATTCCAAAGAATGGTTGTGCGTGGAAGAAAGTGCCTTGAAAAACGCACGGTGGAAGACCGCCACTCGTCCAGATGATTGGGATGAAACTTTAGTTTGTGGCGGGTTGTACGGTGGTGAAAATCAGCAGCAGGTATCAATCCGAACAATTCCTCAGAACACTCCCCATGATAAATTCGGTAGAAGATGCACAGAGATGCAACATCTCTGCGCAGTTTCATTGGATCAAGTCGGACAGTAAGGCGTTGACTATCGATAATTCGAGCCGCCCGACTTTGAATGCGGTCTGACGGAAGGAGTTGGTACTGTGGCGCTCCTGCCCACAGGTGAGAACAGTATTCCATATGCGGCCTGACTTGGGCTTTATATAATTTCAGGCGGTGTTCTGGCATGAAATATCGTCTCACCCTATTGAGCACTCCTAACTTTTTGGAAGCTATCTTAGCCTTCTCCTCCAGATGACCGCAAAACTGGACGTCGCAAGATATATCAACACCCAGAATTCCTGGACTCGACTTTTTATCAAGGGAAGTGCCCTGAAATTGAGGAGATACGACAAACGGCGTCTTTTTTGCGGTAAACGCGCAGACGTTAGATAAACCGCGGTTGGGTCGCCCAAGGACATCACGTACGGAACAAAACATCGACACAGTGGCACAATCTATTCGTGAAAATCCTACACAGTCAACTCGTAAGCGTTCCAGTGCATTAAACGTATCCAGGACATCGTTACAACGGATTTTGAAGAAAGATTTACTTATGCACCCTTACAAAATTCAGTTGGTGCAAGAATTAAAAGAAACTGATGCTATTCAGAGAGTGAATTATGCTAATGAAATGTTTAATCGGTTTACTTCGTTCAATAACATAATGTTCTCTGATGAGGCACACTTCCACATTAACGGACATGTTAGTAAACAAAATTGCCGCTATTGGAGCCCGATTAATCCAAAACTTAAGCACCAGAAGCCCTTACATAGCCCTAAAGTTACAGTTTGGGCCGCTATGTCAGCCCATGGCATCATAGGGCCTTACTTTTTTGAGGACGGCAGAGGGTGTGCTGTTACTGTTACTTCGGAGCGATATGTGGCCATGATCGAGGAGTTTTTCACACAAAAATTGCAAAACTTTCCAGGATTTAATGCCCGAACATGGTTTCAACAGGATGGAGCAACTTCCCACACCTCCAATACTGCTATGCCCGTTATCCGTCAACTTTTTCCAAACAAAGTTATCTCTAAGAGAGGAGACATTTCCTGGCCACCACGTAGCCCGGATCTGACTCCAATGGATTTTTTTTTGTGGGGCTACCTTAAGGCTAAAGTGTACGACTCTAACCCGCGGTCAATTAATGACCTAAAAGAAAACATCCGCAGAGAAATGGCAAGCATTTCAGCAGTGACGTGCCGCGCAGTCATCGACAATTTCAGAAGGCGTTTGCAAGAGTGCCGTGACTGTAACGGATTACATTTGGACGACGTTATTTACAAAAAATAATTCCCGTTTTTCTAGCTATATTTACAAATAAAAATATTATTCATAGTGTAATTAGTTTTATTTTAATTAATTTTTTTCATTACTAAGGACTTATGGGCCACCCTGTATATCTTACGCACCGATGGACATCAGCCATTGAGAGCCAAGGTGAGGCGCTCGCTGTCGGTCTTGATATTGCAAAGGTATTCGTCTTCAAAACGTTTTAATCAGGTTAGGTATTTTTGGTCTTAGAAAATATGACCACATTTCCCAGTTTCGCACTAAGCTCAAGTAGCTTCGTACTTACTCGTTTTCACCAGGATACTTACACTACTTCACAACATCCTTTTTAACTTTTCTTCCCCTCGCTGCCTGATGGAGCGGTTTGATTTCCTATATTCCGTCAATTCTGTTTTAAGATCGTATGAAGACTTTCAGTTAAGGACACCAGTACATTTCTCTAGTTTTTACGACAAATCGTTAACTGTGCAAGCTCTATGACTATGAAATGGTTTACCAGTTTTTGTACGAAATGTACAATGTCTACCTAGTTTTAATAAAATGCTATATACTGTGGCTGGGATAGCTACATGAAATGAATAAATACGGTACATACCTACCTAGTTGTAGCATGAATGAAAGTATTTTTTGTTCTAGATATTATTCATAATCTCAAAACAGTGCCATCTATCCAATTTAACCTTAACCATGAGTAGTTCGCGTTGTTACATATAACTGAATTGAATACTTATCAACATTAAAATGGAATGTTTGCTACTTGTATTTATCTAGAACGATGAGAAAATAACGAGCTTGGAGATTACGAAATTACGATCTACAATAATAGTCTAGTATTCTTTCCTCTATGTTATAATAGGTTTGACAAATGCTATCTAGCAGTAATATACAGAATAAATACTTATTTAAAAAAAAAAAAAAACATATAATTGTACAGCTGGGTATTCCTAAAAATTAGGCACGTATATTATTAATAATCAATCTATAACGAATCGCGTTTATATTCGTCTATTTCTTACTTAATAATTTGCATAACGTACTTTTTCTACGCTTATACTATAATTACACATCAGCGGCTTTTCATATTCTCAAAGTAATAAATCTAATCACTAATGATTTATGACATATACAATAATATAATGCTGGGGGGAAAAGGGATTGTTAGTAATGGAGACAGAATCCCATTGCTAGCAATATATCCAACCAGGTCGACCTCCTCGCGGTTCCCCCTGGAAACTATCATGATTAATTCCTGATGAATTCATCATGATGGGCTAACTGGCCTGTTTTCGTCCTCATCGATCACCCTTCACTGGAGCCCCGCCAGCGTATCCCATTAGCGCAGGCGGGGTAACCACTCCCTTTTCATCCAATAAAAAAATATATATATAATGCTACGTAATTATAGGCTTAATTATTACTCTTAGATTATATAGATGGAGTATCTCCATATAAATGTTAAAAAAGCTCATCAACTTTTTCATACAATTTTTCGTGATAAATAGTTAATTAAATATATAGATACGTTAAAGTAAATTGTGTGTGTAAGTATACAGAACACTAATAAAAAACGAGTCAGCTAATGAGCTGACTTGTATTTTTTTATTAATGTTGACAAAAAGTTGACCTGTTTTTCAGGCTAGATGTTCTACATAATCTAAGGCTATATTATAGAACAACAAGGAATACCGAAATTTTAGAGATAGATCAGCATAATAAGTTATTATGCGTCATACTGTACTACCTAATGAACTAATAATAAGAATATACCTTTCTACATACCCAGCATTCGATCGAACTTCCAATTTTGGTTTCAATCAATTTTGATTTTACCAATTTTTTGTATCGATAAAAATTGGCCGAAACCTAATCTTCCAGAATTTAATTTTATTTGTACGTCATTACCACCTGTCGGGATTTTTTAAAATTTTCTACTTTACATTGATGAGAGATGTTTTTTTTTTAAATAGCTGCTTTTTATAGCCTTCTGATCTTGGATTCGCCATTTTTATGCAATTGTATATATATACAAAATTAATGCCACTTTTCGTTGTAATTTTATAACTCAAGAACGGGCTTATCTATCCAAACTAAATGTTTAGACTTTGTTCGGACTATTTAGTAGATGGTTTATGTGAAGTTTGCACAAAGTCGGTCGAGCGGTTCTTCATTTCTTCAAATGGCGGATCATTTTGTTAATGGATTTTTGTGTCAAATCCAAACTTTTTTAAGATGGGGATTGTGCTGCCAAATTGTAACTTTTTTCAGTGTTGACAGTACAAGCATGTTGTAGTAGATGTAGTACAAGTATGTCATTCAAGCGGTCATTTCATTTTTTACATGCTTCGATTAAAGCAAATCGCCTATTCCATTCAAAGATATTACGAATTTAATAATTCATACACATAGAAAAATAACGCGGATATATTATATATTTTATATTATATATTTTAACGGAGCGGAAGAGGGGCAGGCGGGCACATCTATGAAATAGATAGCTAGGTAGGTTTAAATAAAAATATATAATGTTGTAAAAATATCCACCCGTGCGAAGCCGGGACTGGCCACTAGTAACTATATATATTTAATTACATACATATATTTTAAATTAATAACGAATTCATGGTGATTACAAACATCCTTGTTTTTGCACATGTAATAACAACTCTGTATTATCGATTGATGATTAGACTTTTTCATTTTCTTACTGAAATATAGTTCCTTCCCTTTAGTGAAGCAGAACAGTACAGAGGCAGTGGAATTTGGTATTAAATAAAAGAGTAGGCTTCTTATAGTTCAACGTAATTATTAGGTTATAGACAATCTCAGCGAGTACAACAGAAGGCCATTACAAACACATTGTTACCATAGACAGTAAATCAAAAGGAACTAACAGAGTGTTAATAGTTTTTAAATAAAGTGCTACTACATTTACAACTTAACACATTTTCATAGATAGTTTTTAAAGTTAAAATATTTTCTGTTATTTATATACTGTAAATTTATAAAATGTTGCCATTCTATGAACAAAAACTCACATTTTAAATAATTTAACCATTTAAAACTAATTGAGTGAGTAATGGAAATAAAGTTATTTAACTTTGCTGGCATGAATTTACAGAGGAATAACACCTGAGTCCTAAAGAATGGCAACGCATGGGGAGTATCATGGGCGAAACAGTATACTCTGTTATGTCCATGGTACTGCTCATGTCTATAGGCGACGGTTATTACTTTCCATCGAGTGGTCCGTCAGCTTATTTGCCATTCTAAGTAGTATAAAAAAAAAAAAAAACTTTATTTCTATTCATAAAAGAAAAATTTCGTTTTGATTGTAAAAAATTGTTTCGGTCGATTGATAGTCCATTGTCTATATCTAGTGGACAAAAATCCAAAATAGGTTGGGGGGTTTCAGAAACAAATACTTAAATTAAAAAAGACGAGAATATGATGATATACCTATATGATGATTACGCCCCGGCCCGCGGGCTGTGCTTCGGACAGCTCTAGATCTATACAAATTTAAAACCTCTACATGTGAAGTCTTTTTGTCCATGGGACAACATACGTGTGTTAGATGATATTTTGATATACAAAAAGTACGTCGATGATTGTAACTCGTCTGTGTAGGCCCTTAAAATGTTCAGCTGGTTTTGTTAGAAATACAATCGAGATAGGTACACACGTAGAGACTTGTTAACCTTCATAGTTTTATATTGTATAGCTGAAGTCACACAGGTTAAGTACCTGTTTTCTATGTAGGTAAGTACTACCACTCTTTTCTATGAGTAGATACACAATGTTATTTTTTTTTATTTAGACATTTAGAAATGTTTATCCTTTTAGGCAAGTCAGTCCAGTGCTGTTCATAAAAATGGGATATTTCACTTATAAAAATAAATCGCATATCGAATTAAGGCGTAATTATACCGCATAGTAATGTGTTTAGGACTCGCTTACCTTAAGTGAGAACTTAAACTATTACATTTTATTTATTTATTAGTACACATATGAGCACATGACGGCCTTAATGCTAAAAGCTCTCTCCCAGTTAGCCATAGGAAAGTATTAGAATACTTGAATGCAGTACTAGTAATTATTGATATACACACATATTAAAATTACTAATTAATAACAAATATACTTACACATATATAAGATATACTATATTATACACTAAAATGAGAATAAAATATAGTACTTATAGCTTGGATAAAGTTACAAAAGTGAGCATGAAGGTTTTTTTTAAAGACGGTTTAGTCGGTAGTCTCATAATGGTACCAGGATGCGCGTTCCAGAGCTGTGAAGAGTTTCGTTTCAAATTCGAACTGAAACGAAATTAAAATGGTGAGAAGGGATAGATGAAGAGTATCACTGAAACGTAAATTACGATTTTGAGTTTCAAAAAGATATTGGAATTTGCTGCTTAAGTAATTAGGAGATTGGGCATTTCGAAGAAGACTAAAGGGGGTGCAAAGAGTTCTAAGGTTTCTGCGTTAACGAATGGGAAGCTATTTGAGCTGGGAACGACAGAGAGAAATGTGATCGAACTTCCGAAGGTTGAAGATAAAGCATATGGC